TAATGTGAGAGGACCTTCATTTGAATGGTAGGAAATTTAAAAACCACACAAAATAATCATAAATATAAAGAGACTGAGGGAAAAACCTGAACAAATGAGTGGAGACATACAACGAATGAAGATGCTTCCATACAGATACATGGTTCAATTAAGCAATGAACCTCCACTCAAGTTATGTGGTATGTATAAATCAATGAACAGCACAGTTGATTGTGATTTTGTATCAAGATGGTAAACATAAAGATACCATATCAAAGTGGTTTCAAAAAAAGGTTAGCTGTTGGGGCATGGATGGCAGGAGCTTCAGTCACAAAGACTGCTTCGCTTGCTAACGTTTCACTAGGAGCTGTAATGTAAAGAAACGTCTGTACTTAGATCTATGGGAAAGACACAAGTGAATAGGATTAGATATTGTAGTTGACAGTGCAAACGTGATGACCGTAGTGCCTATGCATTAGTGAGATACATAAGAAAACAGAAAAACAACTGTTCCTCAGGTGACTGAGAGTGCAGTATGCGAGCAGAGTCTCAGCAAGAATAGAGCGTCGACAATGACAGAGAGGGCTATTCTTGTAGGGCTGCAGCGCATAAACCCTCATTACTAAGATAAATGCACATTTGAGAGCTCAGCGGTGTGAAAACCACAGGCACTGGTTTTTAGAGATGTGGAACAAAGTGATATGGTCGGATGAGTCATCCTTCACCACATTACTGACGACTGGGTTAGTATGTGTGTGTGTGTGTGTGTACATCAAGAGAACAGCGCAGGCCTGGGCGCTGGACTCCTGCAGTGAGGGGATCCGGTGGCTCTGTTATGTTGTGAGGGGGCATTTTCGCTGGCATGGTTTGGGTCCACTTCAAAGTTGTTCTGAGTTATCACCTTTATCCTGCCATGAACGATTGTGATCCTGACGGGTGTGGTCGCTTCCTGGATGGAGAATCAAACTGATATTATTCATATGCCAAGACCTTTGAAGTCACCAGATCTCCACCCAATTCAACACCTGTGGTAGATTTTAGACTGTCATGTTATATAGCACTCTGCATCACGACATCATAACACCTTTCTATCTTTTGAAAAAGAGATGAGTTTATTGTTGAATCAATGCCAAGTCACACTGACACTGTTCTGGTGGCATGTGTTGGTTCAGCACCTTATTAAGACACTCTATGTTGGTTTTTCCTTTAACTTGTCACCTGTCTGCATATATTGACGAATAAAACTTTCCTTTTGTCGGTGCGGTTGCTCTCTGGACTATTTGGACTCATCAGATGGCTCCACTAAAGGTTCAGTTCCGTTTGACGAATACAAAGGATCAGAACACCGCGACACAAGAGCGTAAATAAACACATTCAAAGCAAATGGGAAAATCTGATTTATTTCTAAACCGGATCACGTTATCCTTCTACCACACATTTTGGTAGCTCACATTCTAGGACACACCATCTGTCTAAACAAACAGTTATGGATAGAAACATAAAAATAAAACTTCTGCTGATACTGCTTACAGCCACAGTTATCTTTTAAAAATATATGGATAATCTAAATAACAACATGACATAACAAAAATGGTACAAAAGAGGTATGTGGGACATTTAAGGGCGTACAATGTTTTTTTTTGTTTTTTTTTTTGCCTCTTCTACAATGATCAAATTTAGTGCATCTGAAGAAAAAAACTCTTGAGTCCCTTTCATTTTTTAATAAGGCATATGTGTGAAGTTTATCACATCTTACTGTACCGAGACATTTACAGAGAACGATTTACCTTCTCTTCTGAGGGTTAAACAATGAAAACATGTAGTTAAATTAAACCCTCTGTTCTTCTTTTTTGTAATGACAAAAATAAAAGAAGCCATCTATGAACACATTCAGTTTAAAGATTATCACAAATCAACAGGCTACCACAGAGCATGTGCATCAGTCTTCAAGTGCCTCAGGTGTCGTCATTCATTCATTATTAACAAAAGGAAATACTGCAACATAGGCTCAACCGATTGTGTTCGGGTCCAGTGCTGTAAGGGTCTGTTCCTCTGTTTTACCTTCCTCCATGCTCCTTTAATGTACAGACATGGATCGAATGTTTTTTTTCTTTTACTGTTTATCCTTTACGTATTGACGGATTTCCAT